GTACAGGGGCTTTAGTAAGAGTGATACTTAGTTTAATCCATTCTTACACGTTTGCTCAAGAGAAAACTCTTTACATACCTTGTGTTTACGTGCTCTAGCGTAGGCCTAAGCTGCAAACGTTAGCATGTCCGGCTAACTAGCTTACTACCTACAGTACTAATCTAACCCAGATTCACTTCCAAAGCCAACAAGCATTTTATACTTTGGGGGTTTACAGGCTCTGTAGTATTTTTCCAGTGTGTGAAACTGGTCTTTGATGCGACTATAAGAGAGTTTAGGCTGGACTTTTTTTCCATGGGACCAAGTCTTTCAGCTACGATATTATGCATGTCGCCATATTAAAGATCACTTCACAGAGTTCTTGTTTTCAAGCTGCTCAGCTTGGGGGTAGAAACAAGTTCACATATCACAAAGTATCATAAGTTTGATATATTGCAAACTTAGTGTTGTTTGATTACAAACGAATGACTTACGAGTCAAATGACTCAACTTTGACTTTATATTCATACGGGTCACGAACGGCACTCCCACCCTGCCCAACGTAAGCGGATTATCACACACATTATACTGTCATTTACTCTAAAGAAATGAGAAGCCTGCTCTTATCAAACTCTGTCGGCAATCAAGGTCCACTTGTTAAAAAAAGTTACCATCATTTTTGAGTTTTACATCTGGCCTTGTTTTTATTGTCAACTGCAAATATGAAATAGAGGGTAGATGTTAATTGTTGTATTTCAGTGCCAAACTGCAGCGTAATGTTGTGCTCCAGGTAAAAAAAAACATTCACATGCTCTGTTGCGTCTCTCGCCGCCCTTTGAGGCTCTCACCGTTCTGCTCGCTTGGGGCTTGACTCTTTAATCAATAAAGCAATGTTACTGCTCAATAGCTCAGCAGAGGCCTTGCCCAGTGCACTGGCCTGGATAACACAAAGCAGGTTTCTACATTACTCATCCTCCTAATACTTTTGTCATTAATGACACTGATGCATTCTGTAGGAGAAAGCCATGCAGAGAGAACACTGTCCTGTGAAACACTGACATAAAGCTACAACACAGCGTGGCATTGTCTGCACTATTAAGGTCTAGAGGATGAAGGATTTTTATTATTTATTCATGGAGATGGATTCACATTCACGATAGTTTCACGGCTGTTCAACTGGGGAGCCGATTATATCACTTGAAATTAGCACCTTCAGGGTCATGCCAGTTGCCGTTGAGTTTCAAAATGTAACTGTGGGGGGAGGAAACACCAGAGAGATGAAGGGATTCCTGTTTATAATGCTGTTCACAGACTGCTGCCGATTGGTATTCCAACCACTGTTTGACTTTTGTCTTTAGCGCATTAATGAAAAATGTGTCCCACTTTACTGGTCATTATCCTCCAACTGAACCGGCTCACTGACCCTACTCTAACATATCCGCTTGATTTGAACTCCCTGTGCTCTCACATGAGATCATTTTACACCCTCACACTTGTGTTAAGGTGCAAAGAAAGTATAACGGCTGGATAAATACATAAACCCTCCTGATTCTACGTATTGGCTCTATTTCCCTGCCCACCTTGCTTAAGTGAATGCCACAAGATGCAAAAACATCAAAATGTGTTTCATTATTGTAATGATTACAGTAATAATAACACAAGCCTTTGAGGCTTGGCATTTGGTCTGACAGACATTTTTCTGAGCGTTATCTTCCACAACAGGAACAGTGTCTCCACTGTTCTTTTGTGGTCTACAGTGAAATGTTGTATCAATAAAATACAGAGACAGGAGACGGTATGGTATTAATTATTGAAAGGCACATTGGTTCGAATGGGATTCTAATCTCCACAGTGCAGTTATTTTGATGTTCTTGTTTTTCTGTTTTAGATTCAACCTGCAATGCAGCATCCGTCCCTGCAAATACCACGGACATAGAGCGAGTGGATAACGGTGGGGACTAAATGAATGATCTGCTGATGCTAATGTCCTCTGCCAGCCGGGGTCTTGTTTAATAAACCTCAAGATGAGATGGGCGTGCGGGAAACAACGTGATCAAAAAAATATGCCTCATCAATTCAAAGCCCACACACCTGAAGCTGCAGCTGATAATGAAAGAGTAGTTTGTAATGAGGCTGAGTGTTGTGTTTGTTTGGAGGAGGGGGTGGAAGGTGGGTTAAAAGTGCATCCAGCAATCCAGGAGCTACACAGGCTTAAGGGATATGTTGTGTTACTTGTATCAGCACTCGGGATTAAACATCAATATCTTAGGCTGGCGGCTGATCAATGGGAACGGTTCTCTCAGAAGAGTGTGAGACGCTGATCCGAGCTCCTATTCATCTCCCTGAAAAAGTCTTGTGTTTCCTTTCACACGCACAGCAGGCGGGTTCTGCGTGGCCTTGATTGAAAAACAATCAGCCAACTCAATTTTCAACAAATTGGTTAATAAAGACAATGGCTTATTTTCTCCCATCAGGACAAGGGAGTCCCAGGCTTTCTAATTAGTCATTCTTATTTTATCATAATCGATTTGAAACTGGTGCGGGGATACTCAGCCAACAGCGGGGAGTTCGGAAGGGAAAATTTACTCTAGTAAAATGACTGCTGCTGTGAGCGGGATAGTGGCAGATATATTCAAACAGCTGCATGATCGCAAACCTAATGGGCTCTGTTGTGCTAGCACAGAGGAGGAAAGGTGGCAAATTGATGAAATACATTTTTAGAAATCTTTCTTAAAAGCTGAGATGAATTTTTTAATTTCTTTTTTTAAATGCACATACTGTATACTCGGGAGCAACAATGGTTCATTGGCAGTTTATTGATTGCATTTTGAAATCTCCTTACTTTTTGCGTGGCTATAAACTGTTAAGTCGTCTGCTCCACTTTAATATGAAACATTTGGGAGGACCCATCGTGTTACTAATTTTGTATTTCACAAAGAAAATTTGAAGCATATGCTAAGTTAACACTCGGAAAAAATGAATCTTGAAAGCTGAATGAGTTGAGGTATTTTGGTTAGCTCAGACAGGTCGGTAATATCAGCAGGACAGAGACGTTTTTAGATTAAAAAGATTTACAGCGAAGAAGTTCAAAAGATGACATTAGAGGAGAGTGATGGTCATTGATGGAAAACGTATTTAGATCTTTTACTTAATAGTCTATGGGCTCTGACCCAAAATTGAATGTACCGGTACCATCTGGGTGGGGAGATTCTAGTTGTGATTTTTTAGTTCCTCTGCACTCTGCTCCTACAGCGGTTTCTGATGATAACGCGTCCTGACCGACAGCGTAGCACCCACCCTTCAGCTTCCCCCTTCAGGTACGCTGTTGGCTCTGCAGACACTTTATTTGCACAGGTAGCGCTGTTAGCACCATTAGCTGTGGGCCGCCAGCTGGCTGCCGCCATGTTGAGAGCCGTAGAAATGCTCCCAATGTTGTATCTTGCACCTTTTATGTATCTGTTTGTTGAACATTTCTTGCTATAACCACTTAGTACACACTGTGGGATCTATGAATCATAGGAAAGAAAAATATCGACATTTCATATAACCCCCCTGCCCCCCGACCTACACACCCTCCAACATTATGGGAAGCAGCTTGTTTAGCTTCCATATGGCAGAAATCATTTACATCAATGACCGCATAACATGCAGTGGCATTTAATGTCCCCACAGCTCAGTGGTGGATGCCAGTGGCACTGTGATGTACGTTCAATTCCTCCACTGAGAATGATGTGAGTTGACAGTGGATTTGGTCAGGGTTGGTGTGACATGCACGCTGTGAACAGGGACCCATCCTCGAAAAAGCAACCGCAAATGATATTTCCTCTTTCTTGTGCACCTGCTGACAAAACTAGAGTTCATGGACGTACAAGAAACAAATTCGTTTGAAGAAGAAATTAAAAATTAGCCGGATTAGCAAATGATTAAAGCATGCAGTAACAGATATCTAATATACAACAGATCACGTTATTGGCATGGAATAAAATGTCCTGATATTCTGCATTGGTATTCTTAATTTCAGCTTTCCAGACAAAAATAAAATGTTTTTTTACAAATTGTACACAGAAAAATGTTGATGTTTAACCTCTCCCATCTATAAACCCGTTACACTGTCAGAGCTTGTCTTCTAAATCTATAAAACTACAATTATTCACACACCCTTTGGTCATATCTTGAACAGTGTTATGTGCAATGTAACACTAAATTCATGAGTGTGAATGCTTCAAGACAATTCAGCCAATATTTCCCTGATTTAACAGCACCTTTTCCCAACTAGAATACACACAGCAAAGAATTCAAGCCTGCAGAGCCTGCAAGAGCACTTAGTAGAGCTGCTCCATTAACAAGAGAGGGATTATTCCTTTAAAGATGGTGAAGCCCACTACAAGTGCCAAAGCAACAGATGCACCAGGGTGCAACAGATGTGTAAATCATCCTTCATGAATAAATCAAAAATCCAATTCAGGATGTTGAAACTTTGCAGGGCAGATTAAAGCACACAACATCACTGCTTTGTGTTGTCAACCCAGGCACAGCAACACACATTTCGGAAAAGGTTTGTTTGTTTCTCTTCTCTTTTCTTTGTAAGCCTGAGTTGTCAAGACAGCATCATCTGGCATTAGTCCGCCTGAAGGCGTACCTACTGTAATAACAGTATAGGAGCTCTGCCTCTCTGGAGTAACCTGGGGGGCCAATGTGAGTCTGTTTTATACACCTATTGTTCCCCTTTGCCCTGGGGTCACAAAAACTCATTAAGGATGTATAAATGGCTCAGTCGATGCTCTGGCTGAGTACCCATCTATGACCACACATGGTAAACAAAAGGAAAAAGGGGAAAAACTACATGTCAAATGGCAGAAAAGCAGATTGCAGATTTTGCTCTCACATACAATTAAGCTACATAAAATCCTTTAAAAGTAGCTTTCTTAAGAGGAAAAACTAAGCATGGATTATTAAAAAGCACAACAGGAAGGCTGTTTCCTTTCACCCAATATAGATTAGGAGTTAATTATAGTCCTTACCCAGTTCTTTGCGGTCAGAGCTGTGGCTGGACAACAGGAAGAGGTAATCCTTACAGGTGTCTTGATCCAACAGTGAGCTGTTGTGCAGGCAAAGGTCAACAATTAGGGTTACAGCTTTCTGACAGACCATGTCATACTCCTCTCGGTCAGAACTCATGCTCCCAGCTGCATCCTCAGCCGTGTGTGTGCTCATCCAAGGGGACTAACACACCCACACACACGCAGCAGCAGCAGCAGCCCAGCATGCAGAAGATGAATACAACGTGTCTCCGTCCTCGGCTGATTCTTTTTCTCCGCTGTCTCTTACGTGTGTTCACTCACAAACACGCTTGAATGTATTGTATGTATATACATATGAATCTGTAAATATATATATATATATATATATATATATATATATATGTATATAGTGTGTTTCTGTATGTGTTTCAATCCATGTGTGTTAGCAGGGCCAAGATTGTTAAGTGCATGAACGCGTGGTGTGTGTGTGTGTGTGTGTGTGTGTGTGTGCAATAATGTGTGAGGACTTAATGAATCACATTTGTCCTCAGGTGATAGGACAGAATTGTTGCATCACATACATGAAACAAAAAGCCAGTCACCAAGAAACACAACAGCTAACCAGAGTCTAAGACTCCCCCCATCCCCTCATCCCCTCCTCCACCTCTCATGTCTTCATCCCCCATTCTCCACATCGCCCCCCCCCCCCCCCCCCCTCCATCTGACTTAAATGCCGCCACCACTCCTTCCCTCTCTCTCTCAAAGGAGGGAGATGTACGCCAAACTTGGCATTATAAAAAAAGTGAAATTAATCCAGTAAGATATAAATGATAACAATGAGGTGGATAAGTGATGAATGCAGTGGTCAGTGGACAACAAACAAAGGCAACGCAACAAAGACGCCATCAGCTTGCTGAAGGGTGAAGTGATCGACACGGCAGCATCTGGGCAGGCGGGCTTAAGTAACTGAAGAACACGATGGCGCCCCTGTTCCGCTCAGCCAAGAACCTGCAAGACACACAAGCAAACGCACACTCACACAGTACTGAGGCAACAGGACTCTGGGGCCGTCACACAGTGTTTACAATCTAAAAACAAAAACATAACGACCACTGGGCTTGTTTTTCTCACAGTTTGAGTGGCTCTGCTGGTCCCTGCAGGTCAAAATGTCTCCTGTGATAAATTCCACCGCGAGCTGAACCACCTGTGACTTCCCAGGTCTCGCTGCTCCCACCGCCAGTTCCCCCATCGCTCCCATCCCTGAGTGTTTACGGCCTGTAATGATGAGGATTTAGCTTTGTGTGTGAAAGAGAGAAACAAGGACAGGAGGAGGGAGAGAGACCAAGTTGTGAGGCTGCATATGAAGTGAATAAATGGTCGCTACAGTGGTGAAAGTGCTCATGTCTTTTACATAAGTAACAGTAGCAATACCACGCTGTAAAAATACTCTGTTACAAGTAAAAGTCCTATTCCCATAAGTGTTTATTGGTTAGATTGTCCCTTTCAGACAGTTATAATATTATGTACCATATTATCGGAATATTATGTAAACAGAATGTTGGAGTAGATTTTAGCTACTTATTATACTGTTGTTTGGTTAAATCTATTGCACAAAGAACTTTTTTATCAATTGTTTTGTTTGTCAAATCTAGATCTGTAGTGTAACTCCAGCTGTCGGATAAATGTATTGGAATAAAAAGCGCAGGATTTGAGGTATAAAGTAGCATAAAATACTCAAAGTAAAGTACCCACAAATTGTACAGTACTTGAGTAAATGTACTTTCCACCACTGGCTATGTGTTTATTTTGAATACAATGTCAAACATTGCAGCAGCTGTTTAACGATAAGTGAATTGGGATGTGAAAATTGCCAAATGTATCTGTTGGGACATAGCTAATGAAGCTCAATAAAAGCAAATACATCTCTAGTAGATGATTCCCTTCGCTGTTTTTGCATAAACCTCTGAGGATTCAATTCATATGAATTCGTCATATCTGATAATTAGAATTCAAATTTTCAAATCAAGGCTGTAAAGATGAGCAAAAAGCCCCAGGCGAGGAAAAAAAACTAAAACTAATTGACTTTTCGAGCGCATTACATTGAACTATGTGAACTTGCTCGACGTTATCCCTTAATTATGTTCTTAACCATTAATTAAAGTCATTTCATAAACCCTGTGATGAATAAGGCATCAGAAAAATTATGTCATGCCTTTCTAATTATAAGTGATATTGAGTTCAACCAGATCTCGGTCGACTCCCTTCCTTAATGTAGTTAAACCTGGGCGTAAATACGACGCTGTCTACACTGGTGGGCTATTGTTCCGAGATAGCTTAGATAATTGAGAGCTTATAGTGGCCCCCACCCTGCGTTTCCCCTCAAAGGTTGCAGTCTGGGGGTCGACTTTGCTTCCTCTTACTGAAGATTGGATCTGCTCTTCTTGGGCAAGCCTGATTAACAGGCAAATAAATAGTTTCTGGCTTCGGGTTTTCAAAAGAGTTAATTACCTCTCTGCTTCAGCTGCAGTTGATACTGACTCACCCCCTTCCTTTGCCCCGCGGTGTTGTTAATTCAAACAGGTTCACTGCCAACCTGTATTCGCTTTGGTAGTGCTTAGATGTATAGAAAGAAACTAAAAAAACTCTCACTGATTTCCTTCCAGTGCAGCAAACACTACCAATGTAACATCTTTAATTGTGGAAGGAAATAGACCTGGGGTGTATAGCAGTTCTTCCTCCTTATACGTTATTTAGAGGGTGTTGTCGAAGAATGTCCAGTATGTCAGACAAATGATGCTACTGGTTCCTTGTTAAGGTATATTCCATCATTTGGAGACAGCTGGTAAATAAACTGCCATAAAAAAAGATAGTGCATCATTACCCAGAAAAGCCTCCAGTGTTCTGTCTCTTCTCCACATTACGAATAATCCTATCCATACGCTACAGTTTGAGATCAACTTCACATTATAATAGCAATGGTACAAGGTGAATAATAAATAATCTTGCAGATACATAAAACGCCCAGTGGAAGTCAGCAGAATACCATCAACAAAGGTTAAGAACTATATAAAGTATGAATTTCAGGTGCTTGTTGTATTTTACCTTAGTACAGTATTTCCATTTTATGCTACTTTATACTTTTAATTTATTACATCTCAGAGTCAAATATTGTAAGTTTTACTACTACCTCTACCACTACATTTGTCTGACATTTTTCATCTCCTTCCTGTCCAGTGAAAACCATGTACCTCCAAATTTGGTGTTTCAGAATGGGAATGTTTGCGATAAACTGACGGATTAAGTGTTCTGCTAATTTAAAACCAGCTGACTGCGTCTTCACAAAGCTGTTTTTCTGGGCTCATGAAAAGTTGCCATTTTTGAGATATCTGTGTATTACAACTTTTACTTAAGTAACGGATCTGAACAGCGACAGTATTATCTGAGGCAACAGCAGCTGAAAACATCACAGTAGCAACAAATCCGAGTAGAAACAAATTATCCACGATTTCTGTGTTCAAATGACCATCCAAGTTAAACAGAATGAAACATTGTTCAAACAGCGCAGGTTTAATTGCGCAGTACATCTTACCCTCTTCGTTAATTATTCATGAAGCAGTTAGAAATAACACAAAATAGTGTCTCTCATATAAATGTCTTTCCATCTCTCAATAATTTAGATCTCTGCAGTTACAAAAGTGATTTGAAGAAAACAAATAGAGGCGTTCTGTATGCTGATGGTGAATCAAAGCGATAATCAAGACGACTGCTGAGAGAGCTCGTTTTAGACAGTACTAATAATCCAACACCTTAGTCTGCTGTGAAGGGATTCTGCCTAAAAGCTATAAATAAATGAGCAGGGGTGTGATGGTCCTATCGATCATTTTAAAACAGCTGTGGGCATATTTTTCACTGCAAATGAGGGGGTTGTGGCACATGAGGTCCTCGGTTTGATATGTAATTCAACTTCATCTGTGGCAAATCTTTCTGTGGTGACAGCCCGGTGGCTACAGATGTTGAATTTGATTCATCGTGGCAAATGCATGACAAAGGGTTGGCTCACTCAAAGCTATGCTAATCAACATCAGCACTTCAACGAACTTCTCCTGAGGGCCACGGGGGCAGGATATCTACAGTATATAGTCAGTGTGTGACAGTGTATCACGGTGTGTGTGTGTTTCATTGTCACGATGTGTTAATCAAAAGATTTCCCTACTCAGCTGTGGGGCAACGAGAGAAATATTTCTATTTTGACTCATATAAGCTCATTAGTAACAGTCATAAATTGTGTAAACAGGATTTGATGGATGGTGCTGTGAAGCTACAATACAACAGATGAGGCGATGATCTATGAACAAATGGATCTGCCAATGAATATTACACATGCATGTGGGTTTTTACAATGAAATAGACACATGCTATTTCTGTTAAGCCCTCAAAGGCGGCTTAAAATACTCATGGAGCCACAATCACAATGCTTTTCAATAAGGCTGAGCACACAACACAGTGATGAACGAGAGTGACATTACGTATGGATGGGGATCAGCATAATTATTCTGCGTCCAGGTGAAATGTGCGCAGAGCAGTTCCTCATCCAAATACGTCCTGAATGTCATTGAGATGAGGTGTTTAATTGAGCTGCTGTCAGCACAGAGCAGAGGAGCGATTGAGTCCAAAAGAGTCTATTCTCAGCACCCGCTGACATGCATATCAATCCCAAGGCATGTAAATGCTATCAGCTTTTTACTACTCAATATTCTCATAATTCCTTTACAGGTCAGGTTTTTAATAGTGTGTCAAAATTCTTACAATACATTTACCCCTGTTTGTAATCAAGATTATTGGACTTCAGCATTTTTTTTGACAAAGCAGCATAAATCTCCATAACACACGGGCTCTGCGTGGGCACCAGGCAGCACCCGGCCTCCCTCCATGCCGCATAACACGGAGCTCCCCCGGCTCAGAACACGGTCACTTCTGCCAACACAATACTGAACGTACAGACACAGGAAAAAAATAGTCAAACAATGTTCTTATTAATTTGTATGCAGTACACTCTGTGTGCTATACAGCATTAGCTTGCTCATCAAATTTAGCTTCAGTTTATTTAAAGTGCCCATTACCTAGAGAGTCTCTGTACACTTAACAAGTCAGCAGAAAAAAAAA